GAAGAGGTTATTTAGCAAGTGAAGAATCAGAAGCTGTGATGAGGATTATGAAGGCCATGTGGATGGAAAGGAGAGTTTAGATATTCATAAGTGATCTGGCCTGGGAAGGCCTTTCTGTAGCTGAGCCCCCAGGGATGAAAAGAAACCACATCTGTGGGGGAGAGCATTCTGTGTAGAGGGATAGTGAATTCTAAAGCCTGAGTGGGGAGAAGGCGTCCTTGGTGTTAGCGCTTAGAGAATAAGTGAAGGTGAGCTGGAGGGGAAATTAGGGTTAGTAAGTGCCAGGGTTTCAACCTGAGCAGCATTTGGTTCAGAGTCTGGCTTTGCCCACCTACTCAGAACTGTGGCCATTTTCAGTAAGTTATTTTTAGTAGTGTGATTACATTCCAGGATTACAGGTGTGTGCCACCGTACCTGGCTTATATTCCGAACCATTTTCAGATGGGTAAATGGCAACCTAGAGCCATTAAATAATTTCCCCAGGGTCCCACAGCTAATTTTAGGAGATCCTTGGGACTTCAGCCCCAGTCATTTCCCCCTCTGATGTCATTAGCTACTCCAATGTGCTGCTGTTTTTCTGCAGCAGAAAGTCTCAGTTTAGTTATGGCAGTGGGTCTGAACCTGAGGTAGGGCAAAATGGGACTTTAGGCTTGTGTGAAAATTAGGCAGCGTAGGAAATGCAAAAACACTAGTCAGGAGTGTTCGTTGAGTCTAAATGGTTTTCATCAAATGTGTCACAGGACAGGGAGGAAACAACTCTTGATTTCTCCCAAGCCCACCCCAGACATGCCTTCTGTTGGCCGGTTTTGTCAGTCAACTTCAGCCCATTTCCCATCTGCCCATTAGATGAAAGGAACAGATCTGGTGCTGAGTTCTCCCAGAACCCCACCTAAAGAGATTCAGTGGGCCTCCTGGCTGTCTTACTCTTGGGTTCTGTGTCTTATTGACCTCAGAAAGTCCTTTGGAGAAACATGTTTAAAGCATAAATCATTATGAAAGCTGTGGAAGACAGTTTGGCAATGCATTTTACAATTTCGATATCTTTTTTTTTTAATATTTATTTATTTATTGTGTATACAATATTCTGTCTATGTGTGTGTCTGCAGGCCAGAAGAGGGCACCTCATTACAGATGGTTGTGAGCCACCATGTGGTTGCTGGGAATTGAACTCAGGACCTTTGGAAGAGCAGGCAATGCTCTTAACCACTGAGCCATCTCTCCAGCCCCCAATTTCGATATCTTGACCTCTTGAAGCTCCTGTTAGTATTACTAATTCACTTCCACTGGACCAGCCTTTTGCTACCTTCTGAAATATTTACAAGGGTCTGGAGAAAGGGCTTAGAGGTTAAGAGTACTTGTTACTTCTGCAGAGGACCTGGGTTAGGTTCCCAGCACCCATCTCAAGTGGCTCACAACTGCTTGTAACTCTGGTTCTGGCCTCCAATGGTGCCTTCAAGTGCATGTGCATACAGACATGTGTATATACTCAGACACTCACATACACACCATTAAAATTAAAAATAGGGGCTGGAGAGATGGGTCAGCAGGTAAGATACTTCTCTGCTCTTGCAGAGAACCTAAGTTTGACTCCCAGCGTATGGTGGCTCACAATTGTCTGTAACTTCTGTTCTAGGGGATTCATAACCTCTTCTGGCCTCTGCAGGTACCAGACATGGTACACAGATATACATGCAGGCAAAACTCCCACACTTGTAATATTAATAATGATAATAATACATTTTTAAAAATAAAAATATCTTTAAAACCGGTTCCCAACAATATGCTTGGATATGTATCTGCTACTTATAATGGTAAAATCAAAATATTTATGATAAGAGAATTTTAGTTGATCCATATAATGTATTCTTTTTGTTTTGTCTTGTCAGTGTCTACTGTGTAGCCCAGGCTGGCCTGGGATTCACTTTGTAGTTCCCACTGGCCTCTAATTGGGGAGCCTTGCAGACTAGGCTGTCTTGTAGACCAGGCTTGCCTCAAACTCACAGAGATTCATCTGCCTCTGTCTCCTGAGTGCTGGGATTAAAGACGTGCACCACCATCACCCAACAAAAGATGATATTTTGCTGCTGTTCCATTTCTGTCACTCATTCTTTCCCTATCTGTTGTCCTTTCTCATCATTTGTTCATCTGTTCAGTGCGTAGTTGCTGAGTGCCTCTGACATTCCTAGCCTTTTTCTGATGCTGGTCTGGAGGGTGTAAGTGAGGCATTGTGGCCTCTGCTCTCATGGGACTTACAAAGCTGTGTGCGTGTGTGCTCGCGCATACATGCGTGCACGTACATGCTTACATGTACAACAAAGCAAGAAGATATGTTGACAAGCATGATCGTGCTGTGCTGGGGTTGGTGGCCAGGCATATCTTCTGTATTTTAGTAGAGACGCTTTGTTGAGGCCCTTTATGTCAAAAGCCGAATAATACTTAGAGAGATCATTCAAGACCATCAGGTAAGAATGAATTTGATGGGGCTGGAGAGATGGCTCAGCGGTTAAGAGCACTGACTGCTCTTCCAGAGGACCCGGGTTCGATTCCCAGCACCCACATGGCAGCTCACAACTGTCTGAAAATGCAGTTCCATGAGATCTGACACCTTCACACCAACAAACATAATAAAGTTAAATAAATAAAAAAAAGTTAAAAAAAAAAAAGAATGAATTTGATGGCCGGGTGGTGGCGTACACCTTTAATCTCAGCACTCAGGAGGCAGAGGCAGGTGGATCTCGGTGAGTACAAGGCCAACCTGGTCTACAAGAGCTAGTTCCAGGACAGACTCCAAAGCTACAGAGAAACCCTGTTTCGAAAAACGAAACAAAATAAATAAATAAATAAAAAATAATGAGTTTGATGAACCTGATCAGAGGAGGACTAAGGGCTCAGTCACTCAAGCATATAGTAATAGAAAACTCAAAATGTCAGTGAATTAGGCATACAAAAAGTTTCTTGAATTTGTACTGGCTAATTTTATGTTTATTTGGCACAAGCTATAGCTATCAGATTGGAGGAAGCCTCAGTTGAGAAGATGCCTCCATAAGTAATGGGCTGTGGGGCATTTTCTAAATTACTGATTGATGGGAGTGGACTCAGCCCATTATGGGTGATGCCACCCCTAGGCTGGTGGTTCTGGGTTATTTAAGAAAGCTAGTCCTCTGCATCAGTTCCTGCCTCCAGGTTCCTGTCTCTGACTTAATCTAGTGATGAGTAGCAATGTGGAATTGTCAGTCAAATCTTTTTCCTCCCCAGTTTGCTTTTAGTCATGGTGTTTCATCACAGCAGTAGTGACCCTAACTAGGACAGAACCTGAAGATGTAAACTATACCTCCAGGTTGAATCAGACAGAATGACAATGTGCACCTGTTGGTTATATCAGGGTGATGTCCAAGGGCTGTGGACTAAGGGGAAAGACTGAGATTCAAGGTTCAGCTCAGTGGTCTCAACTGAGTCTCTCACTTCAGTGCCGTCTTCTGAAAGTTGGGGAAGAGGCCACCTCATGCCCGGGCAGGGCAGGGCTTCAAACGAGTGCGTGAACTTGGTTAACCACAGGTGCTGGTGAGTGTAGAGTATCTTGATTTAGTGCATGGATGAGCAGGTAGGAGCTGCAGGGTGCGTGGGTTCAAACACTGACATGGCTGATCTCTATGGGAACCAGACATTAACGAGGAGGGGGTTATTTCTTTAGAGTGGGCTTATTGTTCTAATACAGGCTTTCTCGTGTGTCCTACTCAGACAGGTGGGACTTCATTGCTGGATGTTTTTGGTGGAGTCTTTACAAGACTCTTTTTCTGGGGGGGTGGGGATTGAAGCAGAGCTAGAGTCAGTTGAGAAAAGTTGGAGATTGATTTGTTTTGAGATTGTTTTCACTGTAGCCCAGGCTAACCTGAAGCTTACTGTCTAAATTTGAACTTACAGCAATATACTTGCTGCAGTCTTCTGAGTGCTGGGATTACAAGTATTCTTCTGACTATTAAAGAAGTATGAAAATGAATTTAGGCATGACTATTGGGACCATTTATGAGAGAGAGAGGAGAGAGAGGTGCACTTAGGAAAAGGACAGCACATACTTGAGTTCTGGAGTCTTCTCAAGAGAGCTGCCTCCTGGCTCACTTTAGTTCACACTAATCCTGATCTTCTCATGGATGCCCATGATTAATTCCTATAGTTTTGTATCTGTTTGTTGTTGCACTGCCTTTCTGGCTAGATCATAAACTCCTTGAAAAGAATTATGCTTTATGCTCTTCTGTTCCACCACTGTGTTGACTATAGCATCAGTAATTCATTTTTCTTTATAATATCATTATTATTTCACATGTATGGATTTTGCCTGCATGTAAATCTGCAGCACATCCATGCTTTGCCTATAGAGGCCAAAAGAGAGCTTCAGTCCCCTGGAACTGGAGCCACATGATTGTGAGCCATAATGAGGGTGCTGGTGATTCAGCCCAGGTCCTCTGGAAGAACAGTCAGTTCTCGTAACCACTGAGCTGTCTCTATCATCCCAGTTTGTTTGTTTATTTTGTTTTTTTGGGACAGGGTTTCTCTGTAGCTTTGAAGCCTGTCTTGGAACCAACTCTTATAGTTCAGGCTGGCCTCAAACTCACAGAGATCAGACTGGCTATACCTCCCAAGTGCTGGGATTAGATTAAAGGCATGCACCACCACCGCCCGGCTTATTTTAAATTATGTGAATGTGCCTTTGTCTGTATGGTTGGTATGTGCATGTGAGTGCAATATGAGTGGTGGCCAATAGAGGACATCCCGTGGAGCTGGAGTTACAGGAGGTTGTAGGCTACCTGACATGGGTATTTCCCAAAGTTGAGTGAGTATTCTGCAAGTGGGTTGCATGCTTTTAACCATTAAGACATCTTTGCTACCCCCTCGCCTCCCAACCATGATTCTTTCCTGTTGAAAATATCATGTTTCCATTATTAAACATTGTGGCTTTTTGGTATGACGAGGCACTGAAAGAGTTACAATGCTGTATTCTGTAGCCTGCAGGTTTCCCTAGATGATGAATAATCATTCCTTCTGCCTGAAGAACATCGGTGGAAACCTTGACCATGGCATCGATATCAGAACCTGTAACATTCCGAGAATTCTGCCCTTTGTACTATCTCCTCAATGCCATTCCCACAAAGATCCAGAGGGGCTTTCGCTCTATTCTGGTCTACCTCACAGCCCTGGATGCCAATGGGGACTACATTGCGGTGGGCAGCAGCATCGGCATGCTCTACTTGTACTGTCGGCACCTCAACCAGATGAAGAAGTACAACTTTGAAGTAAGTCTTGTTTTCCTTTGCATCTGATTATGTGCCAGCCGTAGCTGCTGTTTCTCCACTGTGTTCTACCTGTGCTACATGGGGCACTTTACCTTTGACTTGCTGGCCTCCAGCTTCATACCTCACTCCAACTAAATATTGGTGTTTTTCTTTCCCCACCTCTGTCAGGGGCCAGCCTCGACAAAAATACCTTTCTTCCAAAGATGAAGCCTGCGAATTTAGAAATATAGTAAAGAATACAAAGACGTGTACAAAAATAATAAAACACAGAAACACATAGGATAGTATCGGGAGGGAATTTCAGTGACTACTGAAAATTCAACCGCGTTTAATTTCCAACAGTTTAATATACCCCTAATTTCAAAAGGTAGGAGTAGAACAAAAGGACTTACATTAACAGACAAATTGAAAGGCCTGGGGTACAGTCATCACTTCTGCCCTTGACTCCTGCCCTCGACTGAACACTCTGTATGCAAACCACTCCCTGAGTGGAATCCCAAGTTATTTTCATAAAGGGAACAGAGCTTAGTTGGATCCTTAGACTTTTGTTTTAGGTAGGAACCAACTACTTCCCTGTTTCAGGAGCATGAGGGCTGGCAACTAGCCACACCTGTTTACAATAGCCATGAGAGAGCAGAACTCTTGATTTACAACTAGGTGGGACTTTTGTTTGAATTAGAAGCACAAAACAAGTCTCTCTAACCTTTGGCCTATATGGGCCCCCACAGACCTCGGTCTCTAAAAATCTTTCCTCATTTTACAAGGACATTTAAATGTTTACCAATTACACCAGGCAGTGGTGGCACACACCTTTAGTCCCAGCACTCAGGAGGCAGAGGCAGGCAGATCTCTGAGTCTGAGGCCAGCTTGGTCTACATAGTGAGTTCCAGGACAGCCAGGGCTACACCAAGAAACTCTTGAAAAACAAACAGAACAATGTTTACCAATTGCTAACAAAGTTTGTTTCTCAGTGTTGTGCCCAGATTACGGCCCCATAGAGAGACCACCAGAGAGGCCCAGACTGTAATAAGCAAGGTTTAATTAGCATAATACAAGTATAATACTGCAGTGAGGTAGAGAGGAGTTGTATATCCTCTGTGGGGTAAGTTTTTAAAGGTGTAACTACAAAGAGGCTTTTTGAAGCTGCTGTTGGCACGGGTGCAAGGTCTTTTGCTCTGTCCCATCCTGCTTCTTTATCACCAGGTGACAGGCTGGCTGGGCTAAGTGACATTGTGCTTGGAATCTCCCGGGTAGGAGTGGGGAAGGCCACTATCTTCCTGGGAAAACATTCTGCTAGGAAATTTCTTCTCGCCCCTTTGAGAATAAGGGGTGAGGGTCCCACACTCAGTATCTAACTTAAATTCTACTCTCTTGAGATTATTCTACAAAAGATTTACGGTAATCATTGACATAGTCCCAGACTATACACATCTTAAATAAAGTGACTTCTATACACAGAGCTCCTGATTCTCATATGTTGACTCAAGAATTTCTGAGTGCTGTATGGGTATGTGAATGGCCTGGTACAGCTGTCACCCTTTAGTGAGCTTCTGTACCTTACCAAGTACATAGCTTTAGTCTTAAAAATAAAAACAAGCTGGGAGGTGGTACCACATGCCTTTTACCCCAGCATCCAGGATGCAGAGGCCAGCTTGATCTATAGAGTTAGTTCTAGGACAGCCAGGGTTATACAAAGGATTCCTGTCTTGAAAAACAAAACAAACAAACAAAAAACCCCACAAAACAAAAACTATGTATATAGTGTTGTTCTTTTTTTAAAAATGCTGCAAGATCCCCGCGGCTGTAGGCAGCAGAAATGCTGTAGGTCCCAAATGGTGGTAGCGGGCCATGTGGTAGCAGGCAGCGGGCCCTGGGAGCAGCCAGTCCCGGGCAGAAATGGCTGCCGGTCCCAGAGTGGTGGCCTGAGCGGTGGCGGCAGGCCATGTGGCGCCAGACAGCGGGCCCTGGGAGCAGCCAGTCCCAGGCAGAGACAGCTGCTGGTCCCAGAGCAGTGGTGGCGGGCCATGTGGCAGCAGGCAGTGGGCCCCAGGCAGAGACAGCTGCTGGTCCCTGAGCAATGGCTGGTCCCAGGCAGGGAGACACATGGCGGGTGGGCAGGCAGAAGACAGAAACATGGATAGACACAACATGCAGGGTGAGGTTGAATGTTTATTCAGGGGGTTATGGAGGAGGAAGGGTGAAGGGGGGGACAGAGAGAGGGAGAGAGAGAGAGAGAGAGAGAGAGAGAAGAGGAGAAAGAAACAGAGAAGGGGGGGGAGCAGAGAAGTGGGGAGAGAGGCAGAAGCGAAGCTGCCTCTCTGAGAGGAAGATGGAAAAGAGAGCGAGCTCAGGCCAGAAGCTGAAGATCAGCCTGCCTCAGGGGATGGGGAGGGGAATGGGTGTGGCTTGTCTCTTAAAGGGACCAAAACCCTAACATTCCCAGGTCTTCCTTATAATGAAAAGCAGGCATGTCAAGGAAGCAGAAAAGGAAGGGCCCAAGGTGGCGGTGGCCAGGTCAGAGGTAATGGGAGTGGGCGTGGCTTGTCCCATAAAGCGACAGGAAAGCACAACATATAGCTCTGGAACCCATGACCTTATGACTTATTCTGAGTTAAGATTCCAGGTGCCCTAAGTTATGCCTGGTTGATAATGATAGTAAGTGGTGACACTGGCATTTGAACTTGGCAGACTCTGTAGTTTGAACTAATGTAGCTTAGCAGTGGCATGCTTGCCTAGATTCATACAAGCCTCTGGGTTCAGTCCTCAGTACTGAAAACAACAATAGCAACAAAACTATTGTAGAGGCTAGAGAGATGGCCCAGCAGTTAAGGCCTTTTGTAGAGGACCTGGGTTCGGTTTCCAGCACCCTCATAGTGACGCACAACCATCCCTAATTCTAGTTCCAGGGAATCTTCTGAACTCCCAAGAGCACCAGCCATGCATGTGGTACACATATGTATATATAAGCAAAACGCTTATACACATATGCATTATATAACTTAAAAAGAAAAACTGTTGCTCTTGTTGTTTTTAGTTAGTTAGGTAGGCGGTTCAATATACCATCCTGATGTAGCCCAAACTAGCCTGGAATTCACCATGTAGCTTAAACTAGCCTCAAGCTTGTGATCCTCCTACGTTGGCCTCTTAAGTTCTGGGATTGTTGGCAAGCACCACCATGCCCATTTCCCATTGCTATTTACTTATTTATTTATTTGGTGGATAATATTTCACAGATTCGACTGCTCAAGTCCCCCAAACATTGAAGATAATCATATTTAATATTTAAACTATAATTACAGATTTAATATATCAAAAATTTCTCAAATCTTCAAACAGTTAACAAAGAAGAGTTATGAATGAAAGATGAACCCTAGCAAAATAAACTGAAGTTACTGACAGAGACATAGAGCTTAAACTGCTAAGGATAAGAAAAACTCTTAGGCTGCACATGGTGGCACCGCATGTAGTTAATCCTAGCACTGGTGTGACAAAGGCAAGTGGATCTCTGTGAGTTCAAGGGCAACCTGTTCTACAGAGCGAGTTCCAGGATAACCAGGCCTATTAGAGAGTCCCCGTCTCAAACAGAACAAACAAACAAAAACAAAACTCTTAAAGATAACTAGAAAAAGTAGCCTATTACCTGTAGGGGGTGGTGATTTGAATGACTGTACATTTCCCTTAGAAATCAGAAGACAGTAGCATATATTCTGAAAGAACTACCCGGCTGAGAATGGTAGCACACACTTGTCTCAGCTACGTGAGAACCTGTGGTAACAGGATCACTTGAGTCCCCAAACAACACAGCAAGACCTCTCTTAAACAAAACTTTCAAGAATTTCCTAGCCTCGAAATGTCTGTTATAAACAAGAGATATCTGGGTGTCATAGCTCACACCTGGAATCCTAGTACTTGACAGGCTAGACAGGCAGATTGCTGTGATTTTAAGGTTAACCTGGACTACTGAGTGAGACCCTCTCTCAGAAAAACCAATGTAAAAACCTGTGATCCTAGCTTTCAGGAGGCTGAGGTAGCCTCCTGAGATTGTGAGTGAGGCCAGCCAGTTCTACACAGCAGTTCAGACCTGCCAGAGTTTTATACAACAAATAATTAAACAAATAGAAGAGAAAGAAAAGAAGGGATGGGAAGCAAAGTTTTCTTAGTTAAAGAAAAACAGAATATTAATTTTCAATATCTGCTCTGAAGTTATTGTTTAAGGAAATCCTTCAGAGGGAACAGCATCAGGAATGAAAGAACAGTTAGAGTAAATTCTTTTTTTTTTAATATTTATTTATTTATTAAGTATACAGTATTCTGTCTGCGTGTATGCCTGCAGGCCAGCAGAGGGCACCAGACCTCATTACAGATGGTTGTGAGCCACCATGTGGTTGCTGGGAATTGAACTCAGGACCTTTGGAAAAGCAGGCAGTGCTCTTAACCTCTGAGCCATCTCTCCAGCCCCTAGAGTAAATTCTTAAGGAAATAAAATAGGTTATTTTTTCTATATTGAGTTCTTTAAGATATATTTGACAGTTGAAATCGATGTGTGTAGATATAGTCATATGAAAGACAGTTATAACATCAGTGGGATATGGTGCTAAGGATCATATATTCTGTTTGCAGAGGTGAAAAGTATATGTGAGTTAGGGATGCAGCTCAGTGTGGTAGAGCACATGCTTAGCAAGTACAAGCCTTTGCACCCCCTGGGTTAAATATGCATATTTATTTACTACATATACAAGTATTTAAGTGCAAATGATTCAAATATATCTAAAAGACAGAAATTGTCAGAGCAAATTCACAAAAAGATGAAGGCAAGGCATAGAAGCATGTGCCTGTTACTTTGTGGTGTGTGTGTGTGTGTGTGTTTGATCCCTGAAGCTCATGGCCAGCCAGAGGTTCAGTTTCAGTGAGAGACCCTGCTGAAAACAAAGATGATGAACTGGGAGTATGATCCTCAGGTAAAGGCACTTGCTGGTTGGAACCCGTGTAGTGGAAGGAGA